TACAATACGAACATAACACTAACCCTAATACACAAGGTTTAATAGAGTTGACCGGCTTGACTTGATGACTTGACTTGACTCAAGATTGACGATTGTCACAGCAATGGGCCCATTAATCTAAATTAATCAATAGAACAAGGCAAGGGAGTAGTCACGAACATAAGCCGCAATTTGCAGCACTTCATGATCAATCGGCAAAGAAAAAAAGCAATCTGCAATTTGCAGCACTGCATTATTCGTTCGTTCAAAAAAAAGCAATCGGCAAAGACAACAACTTAGCGGCTCAGTGTCATTCACTCATTCAGCAAGGGTAGACGATCTTTTATGAGAAATTGAGGATTATCAAGGGTCAATTATCTGATTTTATCTCCTGCTAATCAACCAATCAGGTAAGATTTATGAGAATTGAGGATTATCAAGTTTATAGTTGTCAATTGCATACTTGAATGATTCATACTTTCATAGATTACGAGTTTAATAGAATATTGAATCATTTAATGAATTTAATATTATTTAATGAATTTAATATTTGATTATCAGTTTATCTACTATAGAAATCGGTTTAATAGTCAACAGAATAATGAATGAATGAATTAGTTTCTAAGATTCATAGAAACCGGTTTAGTAGTTTAAATTATGAGTTTATGTTTATTGTAAAATTGTTTATAAAATTATATTTATTGTAATTGCTTGAATGTTGAAAGGTTAAACTTATGAACTTGTAGTGATGAAGTCTAAACAACCATCCGGTTATCAAAAACGTAAAAAGAGAAAACTAGATGAAGAAAAGAGAAAGGTTGATGTCGGTGCTCTAGATAAGTTTATCCACAGACAACCTGTTGAAGAGCACATTGAAGACCATGTTGAAGAGCACATTGAAAAGCATGTTGAAAAGCACATTAAATAGCAAGAGCATGTAGAAGTAGAAGAGACAAAAGAGCATGAGCCTATTAAAGACCTTGTTGATATATATGATCTAAGAAGGTGGGAAAAACTTAATTCGGATGAAATTAAAATTTTGGTTGAGAAAGGTCCTAAAAGAGATCGTAGTATTATGTATGGTCCCTACGATAAATTTGGTACACGCTTTTCTGGAGCTTTGTGTACAAGAACTTTATCAAATTTGGAGAAGTGTGATAGAGAATGGCTAGTATATTCGAAAGAGCTAGACAGGGTATTTTGTTTTTGTTGTAAAGTGTTTAGAAAAGGGATTTCAAAAGGTAAATTGGATGGTGAAGGTTATGCAGATTGGCACCATGTTACCACTAGGGTTAAAGAACACGAAATTTCATTGGATCATCTTACAAATAGGAATAAGTGGTTTGACATGCGTAAAAGATTGAACTTGAATGAAACAATTGATAAAGTTCAACATGAGCAATTCAAGAAAGAAAGAGATTATTAGAAACAAGTGCTTTTAAGAATTATTGCAGTAGTGAAGTTTCTTGCTAAACATAATTTAGCATTTCGTGGATCCAATGAAAAGTTGTATCAAAAAGGTAATGGAAATTTTTTGGGTGTCATTGAAATGCTGGAAGAGTTTGACCCGGTTATCAAAGAGCATGTGCGACGGATCACAAGTGAAGGGCTTCATGTGCATTATCTTGGCCACATTATCCAAAACGAACTAATATCTTTTCTAGCCGAAGAAATTAAAAAAGAACTCATCAAGAAGATAAAGGAAGCAAAGTATTACTTAATCATACTTGATTGTACTCCCGATTCAAGTTACCAAGAACAAATGACTATAATAGTGAGGTATTTAAAGTTATCATATAATTTTCTTACTATCGAGGAGTCCTTTTTAGGTTTTTTGAATGTTGATGATACCTCCAGAAAAGGATTATTTGATATTACACTTGAGGAGTTAAAGTCTCTTGGTCTTCAAATTGATGATATGCGTGGTCAAGACTATGACAATGGGCAAACATGAAAGGAAAACACCAAGGAGTGCAAAAGAGATTTTTAGATATAAAGCCTAGAGCGTTTTACACTCCTTGTGGTTGACATTCTCTTAATCTAACATTATATGATATGGCTAACAAGTGTAATAAAGGAAAGAACTTTTTTGGATCCATCCAACGTATTTATACTATCTTTGCAAATTCTACTAAGAGGTGGGAAATTTTGAAAGATAATGTTAAAGCTTAGAGTGTTAAGTCTTTGTGTTAAACTCGTTGGGAAAGTCGGGTTGAGAGTGTAAAGGCTATTAAACTGCAACTTGTGGATGTACGAGAAGCTTTACTTCAAGTTAGAGAAAAAGATAATGATGCCGCAAGTGCAAGTGAAGCAACTTCACTAGCAGAAAAAGAACTTAGTGACTTTGAATTTTTGGTATCAACTGTTGTTTGGTATGAAGTACTAAACCATGTGAATATTGTGAATAAGAAGTTACAATCAAAGGATATGCATCTTGATAATGCTATTACAGAAATAAACAAACTGATTGGGTACTTCAAGGATTATAGAGAAACTGGTTTTTCATAAGTGATTGTTGAAGCTAAGGAGATTGCTATTGAAATGGGTATTGATCCAATATTTCCACAAAAGCGTTTGATTGAAAGGAAAAAAAAGGTTTGATGAGAGTTCAAGTAGCGAAGAAGTTTCATTTACACCTGAAGAGAATTTCAGAGTCAATTATTTCTTATACATTGTTGATCAAGCTATTTCTTCTCTTGAGACAAGATTTGAACAATTCAAAGAGTATGATAAAGTATTTGGTTTTTTATTTCCACAAAACTTGAGGGGAATTGAAGATAAAGATCTTAAGTTATATTGTCATCGTCTTGAAAAAGCACTCAAGTTTGAAGACAGATCGGATATTGATGCTGAGGAACTTTATACGAAGTTGAAATTATTTGAGATATTGGAAACCAATGAATTTAGCAACCCTATAGATGTTTTGAAGTTTTTGAAAGAACTTGATTATTTCTCAAATACAAGCATTGCATATAGAATATTGTTGACTATTCTAGTAACGGTCACATCTGCACAAAAGAGTTTTTCCAAATAGAAATTTGTGAAATCTTATCTGCGCTCCACAATGACCCAAAAAAGACTTAGCGGTTTGGCGATGATATCTATCGAGAACGGAATTTTAGAGAGTAAAGACTACGAAGAATTGATCAACCAATTTGTAATCAAGAATGCTAGGAGAGCTTCAAGGATCGTCGGTTAGTTGTTAAGGTATTTTATTAGTCATTAAAATACTTTGATTTTGCTATGTTTATTGCTATAAGGTTTATCGTCATTTTAATAAATAAATTAGTTTATGTAATTTAATTCGTTAAAATGTTACACGTTAAGGTCTAAGGGCATTTTTTCTCCATTTCGTCCTGAATATTTGATTCCTCAGAACCGGTCATGTTTTTTATTATGTTGAGTCGCTTTGTGTTTATGTAAAGAAGTGTGCAAATGAGGCTACGTTTTGACCATGTGGTGGCACATTTGGAAGTATCGCAAGTCGGTTACGTTCGGTGGTAATAAGGTGACAAAAGATATATTCTTTGATAATGTTGTGATTAAGTTGTTAATTTGAAATTTCAGAAACTAAAAGTTAGCTGGGTCGGGTGGATGCGAAACCTATAGAGGTTTATTACTTTGTAATGTTCGTAGCTTATCACTAGCTTTTTGTTGAGAAACAATAAAAAGTTACAACTTATCATAATCTTTGTTTTGTTCTTAGGACATTAATTCTCAGTAACTTCTTTTTTCGAAAATGATTTCGGGAAACAACCACATTTTCCAACTATTTATAACATTTTTTTTTCAAAAATTCCAATATTTAAACAATTTTCATATTTCCGAAATATTTTTTTTCTCTCCATCAATTTTTAATTGTTACTTTTTCTCTTTCCTATTTTCTCCTATCTATTATATATTTCAATGTGTATCTAACTTGCACAATGATATTGGTTCGAAAATTATAAACGAGTTAACTAATTCCAAAAAGACGAAGAAAATTTTGAAAACTACGAACAAATTATTTAAAAAAAATTACAAATTTTCGAAATTAATGTTTTTTTTGCTTTTTAAAACATATGATTAATATACGTTATGAAATTTGGTTATTTGTGTAAATATCTTTTACTTTTTGTAGACCTACCTTGTTAGTCGTTCACCGCAACATATTTTACATAAGTTCATGATTATGTTCCTCCAAAATTATAAATAAATGTCAAACGCATCCCCATAATTATCTTTTTTTTTTTTTATCGTATAAAAACAAAACAAAAGAAAAAATCGAAAGAAAAAATAATTAAACAAAACAAACTGATAAATTTAAACCCACATGAAGAAACAAATCTTGCAACTTATAGCGACTCATAATTGAGATCTTCTAGCCGATGCCCCAAAACGTGCTCGCTGGATATTACTCCGGCGCTTCATGTACACAACAGTAGCAAACCCAATTAAACCAGCACCCGCCAAAACCCCAAGAGTTATCCCCGCCTTCTGTCCCCCGCTCAGTCCAGAAGACCCTCCACCATTATCCTTTGTCGGCACACCACCACTACCGCCACCACCGCCTCCTCCGCCTCCGCCAGTCGAAGGTGGTGGAACGACTGGTGGTTGGATTGGTACCGGTGGTCCTTGTGAAGGAGTCGAACCAGGCGCAAACCGCCAGTATGGAATTGGAGAGGGGGCAGATGCAGGTGCTATGGCATGGAGTGTTCTCGCAGAAACAAAAAGAACTAGAATGAAAAGGGGAAATGCTTGAAATTGTTTTGCCATTGTTGTATGTAAATGTAGTGTTACAAAATTCATCTGAAACGTGTTTTTTATATAAAAAAAGATGTGATAAAAACTATGGTTTTGGCGACAAGAAAACAAAATGACAGGTAAATAGTATGAATTGGAGAACCCGTCAAACAACACATAACAACAAAAACATAATACAATGCTTATATGTCGACAGGCAGAAAGATAATATATAAATATCCTATAAAGCTTTGACATTTTACATAAGTCAAAAAAAAAAAAAAAAAAAAAAAAAAAACTGAAAATTTGACTTTCGAACTTTGACCACTACATTATTCGATTTTGGTAGAGCAACAACATATGCTAATTTTTGAAGTTAGAAGATATGGAAAACCTCATAAATCATAATTCATCCTTCAGATCTTGATTGCTACTTTCCTGTGTTAACTCGGGTTTCTGAGTTGACTCAGTTTCGGGTTTCTGAGTCGACTCAGGTTTCTGGAGCTTGAAAGGAATGGCTGCGTGTTGCTTGAGAAACTTGTAGAAGGCTTTCACTGTTCTATCTGTATCAACTGTGATCTGCAAAACCCAAGTAATAAATTTTAATGAATGAGTAGAAAAAAAAAATTAAAAAAAATGGTGGATTTTGTTAGTTGTTTAACGGATACTTACCGGGTCAAAACTCTTATTGCCAGCCGGGAAGAAAAGAAGAGTCGGGAATCCATCGGACTGGAAAAGGACAAAGTGTAAAACATCAATACCGCAAAAATCATGAAATACTACGGAATGGAATCACGAATTCCAATTCCATTAAAAGTACCTTGGCACGAGGGTGTTCATTTGTGGTGCCCATCCATTTTGGCTATAACAAGGGAATCGATCCCTCTAAGATGTTTTGCAAGTTTATTGTATGTTGGTTCGAGTGCTTGGCAATGGCCACACCATGACGCGTATATCTAACATGAAAAAAAAAAATGTAAATTATTTCATCATAATCATAATCATTATTTTTTTTTTTAATCTTTTTAATGGTTTGAACAAAAAAAAGTACCTCTAGAAGAACATCCTTTGACTCGTCCAAAACTATTTCATCGAAGTTATTACCAACAACTACTTTTACATCCTCATCATTCTGGAATAAACAACATGAAGAAAGTTACAATTAAGAACATGACTTAATCTAGTAAGCTATATATATGTTGTCCTTTTCAATTATTTTTTAAACATCATTTATTCAGAAAAAAATTTATTCATACAGATAGAAATACTTACAGTCTCTGGGGATTGGATCTGACTTGTAGAAGGGCTTGAGGTTGTCTTCTAGGAAATTTTCACCAAATGACTAAGAAAACACATAGCAAGCAGTGTTTGTTATCTTTCATTTGTTTTTTCTAATTTATATAAATCAATAACAACATGATCAAATGTTATGTTGCAAACTGAAAACCTTGATGTTGTTCAAAGTCAATTCTCCTTCCAAAAAGAACTTTCTGGAATCTTCATTTCCAGTGAACGCTATAACCTGAATAAAAATGATGTCATGACATGATCATGTTCTGAAGGAAGTGAGGTGGAGAATGCATGATGATGATGATGATGATGATGATACTCACTTTTGGAGCACTTCCTTCAATGCCAAAGTATTCTGCAACTGGTTTACCAGCATCTTCTTCGTCCATTGGAACGTATACAAAAAGAGCCTGTGTAAACAACCGAAGAATAAATGTAAGATTTGAACAAAAATGAAAAAAACATTATAGTATTGAAGCTTCAAGGCCATGTGATTAAATGAGAGACTATAAACATTATACTAACCTTTCCCATAAAATATTTTGCTGCTTCTTGGAATATAGGAAGGTACTTCTCGGTTTCATTCAAAGTAGTAAAAAGAATCACCTGTCAAAGAACAAGATTTAAAACATACAAAATTAAGCACCCTTTTGTTAGAATCAACAATCACATAAAAAAGTTTAGAATATAATCGTATATAGTATTTGGTAGCACATGATACCATTTATAAGCAAAAAATTCTACCTGATTTTTGATTGGGTTCTCAAATACTTGTGAAGAACTTGCACGAGTGAAGTAAATCACAAGAGGGAGCTTGTTCTTTGAGACAAACTCTGTTATTGCTGAATTTACAAACTGACCCCCTGTAGTTTACATATTGGTTAAGATTTTGCTTGAAATTTCGTGATTTGGAGAAGAAAAAATGGTAAGAAACGAACCAAAGTGGCTAACTTTCTCGTCTTCCTTCTTTACCAATACCAAAGCTGGTCGTTTCCCTTTTGGGTCAATGTGGAAAAGCTTTGCCACATCAGCACTGGATGTTTGGTAGAAGCTTACTTCATCTTCTTGTTTTGAAGCTGCAGCAAGTTCTTCACTATCTGGACCCTACACAAAAACAAAATTAATCATGATCTAATGTTACATTTGTGGATATTTGACACGGAGTCGAACCCTTTAATGTTGTATTTACTTTAAGATTGAAGGTGCAATGTTTTAAACTCGCTAATAATTGAAAATTTAAGTGGAAAATTTCAAGTGTAAAAGAAGATATACCACTAAATTTTCCACAAAGGCCACAACTACTGGTGATTCGCTGGTTAATATGCTTTCGGCTTCCTCGGTTGTGGTCAAATTGTGTAGACCAGGACCAATCTTCTTCTTCACCCAAGTCACAATAGCATCCCTATGAAGAAAGAAAGAAAAAAAAAACACAAAAGAGCAATTAATTCTAAAATTCTATATTTATTGCTTGATAGATATCTTATATTAACCCAAAATTACAATCTCTCTTTGCTCAATGGATACAAAGCATGCTAGATGTACCAATTGCATTTCCTTTGGTGCTAATTGATCACAGATTTACCCCTCTTCTAATTTCCGTTTATCAAGTTAGGCAGAAAAGGAACTCCAGATTAGATCACAAATAGAAGTCACATATGAATTGACTGTTCTTCACAGCAGAATCAAAGCTACAGACTATAATTTTTCAAGAAGATAAAATCAATTCACAACGAGAGAGATAGAGAGAGACTAACTTGTTCCTCGCACCGTTGTAGGGCTTATGAACACCATCAATAAAGAATAACACAGTAGGATACCCTTCAACATTGTACTTTTGGGCCAGTTCAGTCTCCTCTCCAGCGTCCATCTTCGCCAGCGCTACCTCATCCGTCTTCAACTCCGTCGCCGCCGCCGCATACTCCGGTTTCAGAGCTTGGCAATGCCCACACCACGGCACGTAAAACTCCACCATGGCATACCTATTTTTCTCCAAGAAATCACTGAAATTTGACCCATTTAGCACGACTACATCACTCTCGTCGATCTCAGCTTCGGGAGCCGATTCTGAATCTGGGTATTCTCCCTCCCCGTCTCCGAAATCATCCAAATCATCATAGTTCTCGAAATCATGGTCCTCGTAACCGTGAAGGGATGATTCGGCGGCGTCGTGTTCGTCTTCCTCGAGGAAACTAAGATCTTCTTCATCAAGATCAAGGGTATCTTTGCAAGAAGCGTTGAAGCAAAGTAGAAGTAGAATAGACAAAGAAAGAAGAAGTGATCTCGTAGCAGCCATTGTAGCCGTTGAGACCTTGAAAACACACAGAGAGAGGGTAGAAGAAAGTGTTGTAGTTTGTGAATTTGATGTGAATATGTGTACATCTAGCCCTTCGATAATTTTTTCAAAAATTCATTTCAGCCTATTAATTTTAAGAAATATCAGTTGACACCCAAACTTAACATTCCTTCCTTATTTAAGGCAAACTTCATGTCCCTTGTTAGAAAGTATTTGGTAAAACATTTGATAATGTGTTGGAATATCACGTGCATTTATAAATGGCTAGTAACATAAACCAGAAAGATGCATAACGTGCAACAACCAATTATTTGAAATATACATCGAACTAAATAAATATGAGGATAATTTTACTAAAAAAAATTTAATTATATTCAAACAATACGGTGGAAAGGCAAACTTAATAACGAATAGCTATAACGAGAATATGGAATTGAACTAATAATATAAACACTTAAAATTTATTAAACTGGATGTAAATTGCAGTATATTTTGTTTCCTTATTTTGTGATGACAATCAAAACGTGGGTTATACATCAAATAAACTAAGAGCCAGGGACTGAAACTAATATATGGTAAAAGTGAGGGATAAAATGTGCATATTTGGTTCTATACATTTGATGCGAGAAAGTCGGTTGCATTTGCACTTCTTTCACCGCTTCAGCCGTTCAGCGTTAAGGTTGATTATTTTTATGTCCGACGTGGCGACTAACGTTTGACCTTAAATGTCCATAGCATGTCCATTATAAATCTTCAACGAATAGGCGTCTGCCACGTTGTCATAGTGAGTCACGATTTTGTGAGAAACGTAGATTTGACTTCCGGGAGATGGAAGTGGACCTGTCTTTAGGTACTGTTCCAGTTATGATCGTCGTTAAGTCAGCCGGGTGAAGCGTTGTTTAATTCGGTATCTTATGATATTAATTTTTTTAAATAGAAAGAAAATATAGGATGATGTTTACTCTCTCATATATTATTTCAACTAAACAAAAATCAAATAACTGAAAATTAAAAAAAAAAATTAAAAAATGCAGACAAATAACTGTACTTAAAGTTAAAGATGTAATTGGCAATGAAGTTAGTATTGGGAAAGGGGGAATAGGAGAACATGAAATGAATGGAAGGGGGAAGTTCACATATGTGAAATTTTGTTATTTACATGCTAAAACTTGTGATTACACTAAAATCAGAAAATAATAAATAATAACGGTAAGATCTTATATTAAATATCGTACTTATGCAATACACTTACGTATAAAGATCATACAGTTTGAGAAAAATCTCAAGGGTGATAGACGCATCTGAAAGAACCTTTGGTAATTGAAGCCTTAACGTCTAACTTCAAAAACAAAAACATGAATAGTTAATTTAATATCATAGAAGAAATTACATAAAAACATTAAACCTTATTGTCTTTGTATCATCACTATATGTTCTTTTCTATTTTCATTTAGGTGAATCAATTTTTTTTGTCTTACAATATAATATCCTAGTTATTTTTTAGACTATCTATCTTCATAGCTTCAACATCTTTTAAGATTCATTAAAGTTACTTGCTTTTTTTCTCAAAGAATTCCAACTCAACTAAACTAAGGTAGGACAATGAATGAGGCTCCATAGACGAGGTTGGAGTGAGCGGGTTTTATGTTGTTTTTACGAAAAAAAATTGTTACTATTTTCCTTATTTTAAAAGATATTGTTAGCTTCGATTCAAAATGACTTATTAACAATCAGGTCATTTTCATATATACTTAAAAAATAATTTAAAATAAAAATTAAAAATGTTCTTATATTTTCTTCTTAGTCATCTCTTATCCGTGTTAAATGTTAACATGTGTCATATTTAATGGAATTAATAATATTTTAATACATTTATCACCATTTAACATTAATAAGAAGATAGGTAGAAAGAAAATATAGGAATATATTTAATTTCTCATAATATATGTGTATCGGTTCGTTGGTGTCATAATATGGAAACGTCAACACTTGATTAGATGTTTGGTAGATAATTACCGCACCAAATACATTCTTTTGGTAAATAAAGGCACAAATAACATTAAATGTTATGGGTGGTGTGGTGTGGGACCGCTTTAGAAGCTATGCTCTCAATAATTTGAAGTTAATTTCTCCATCCTTTGATTCAACAAGCATAAGGGTATAGATGGAAATGAGATGAGTATGAGGCGGGATTGATCATCTTTGTCTTCATCTTCGATCTGTCGTCGATCTATCAACATAATAACCTCAACTTATATAAAAAAATAATTTCAAGTCTAATAAGTTATCAAAACCAAAGGTCATACTTAGATTATTTTTACATTAATTATTAAGTTTAACACGTATAAAAAACGAGAAGTAACGATTTACAATATGGACCGTCAAACGAAGTGAAGATTGAATATCTCTTGTAATTGGGAAGATAATTTGATGTAGAGACTATATCCGTGATGGTCTAATACAAAATAATTCATGCTTAGTATATTTATTTCAAATTCAGTAAATTATCAATATACTAATATTATATATATATATATATATATATATATATATATATATATATATATATATATATATATATATATATATATAATTTCATCAAAGCAGGATCGGGGCAGGTTGGAGAATGGTATAAGCGGCCCCACCTCATCCTCGATTTTAGCATGATGGGGATCCCAGACCCCATACCCGTACTCGTTTTTGCAATGAAACCTCGTTCCCGATTGGGGCGGGTCAATCGGGTTCCCCAACGAGTCGGGTAAAAATTCCATGCCTACATAAGGGTAAATGGAGTCATGCATCAGGTCGGAAGATTGTATGGGATGTATCGATGATACCTCCAAAGCACCCATTCTTTAGTGGGTTGAGAGTGGTGGGTTGAATGAGGTTTGATATCCGGCTTCACTAACCCGATCCCTCCATTTTCAACCCATACAATGACCGGCTATACATTATGTTTATATATTTGTACTGAAGCAATTTTGTATGTTTTTAAATTAGTTTTAGATGTTTGGTAAATTAGTTTTGTATGATTTTTATTAATTTGTGTTTAATAAAAATTAAAAATTGAGTGGGTTGGGAAGTTACCATTTTCATGTGTTGTGTTGTGGTTTGAAAAAAATGAAAGAGAGAGAAGATAAAATCTGATGCGACAGTGGATTAAGTGAGTTTGAAAATATGGAAAAAAGAGAGAGAGAGAGAGAGAGAGAGAAAATCAAGCGATATTCCTTTGAAAATCCGTTATTTGCTAATTTTTAGCGCTAATTGCAATTTAGCAAATATCAACATACTTTTTTTGCCTGCAAGCGAATATATTAAAAAAAATGGCAATAAGCGAGAAACTCAATCTACTATAATAAATGAAAATTTTTGCCACATATCATCTTTTCATTCATTTAGACACATGATATTTTCTAAAATTTTTAAATTTTCTATTTTCCACTTGTCATTTTATTGTATTTTTCATTTTGATAAATTAAAGTTCTACATTTAATATATAAGGTATTTATTAGAAAATGGTTTATATATGTAATGTATTCAATACATTAAAACCTCATTAATTTTAATAATTCAAAAAATTTCTCATTTTTCTTATTAATTCAAAATTTTCAAATTGTTAAAATTTTAAAATTAATTTTTTTTAAATAAACTCATGTAATACATAGATCTCATACCTAGTGTAGAATACAACAAGAACTTGAATACATGAGACATTCACCATAAAGACTAGTCAAACATAGAACAATTGGACATATTCTTAAGCCATTTACTTTTATTTAGTTTCTATAATAGCATCTTATTTCCACTTTCCATATATATATATATATATATATATATATATATATATATATATATATATATATATATATATATATATATATATAGAGAGAGAGAGAGAGAGAGAGAGAAAGAAGATCGGGTGATTTTTTTTTTTGTGTGATGACTCGTGAGGACACTTTAACAAAATTGAAAAAAAAATCTAAAAAAAATACAAATCATAAAATTAAACATAGTACTATAACGGAGAGAAAATTGGGGAAAAAAAAGGATAGTTAAAATTGAAGCATAAATCATTTTTATAATCCATGATTCACTTTTTATTATCCATGATTTAAATTTAATGATCCAAAAAAAAAATTAATTTTTTTTTCTCTGATATAGTATGCTCGATTTTATAATTTGTATTTTTCTATAGAGTTTTTTTATTTTTTAAAGATGTCTTCACGAGTTCTTACCGAAAAAAAAGTTATCATCGGAACCGGACTATATATATATATAGCGAAGTTTATGTTTTTACAACTTTTTTTGTGATTTTTTTCATTTCGGTATGTCACTAATCTACTAATCTTCAAACATAATGATTTTTATTATAAATTTCATGTTAATCAAGTGTATATGATTTTTCTAGGGTTTGTGTTGGACGAGCTTTTGTTACATTTAGGGTTTTTTTTTGCAATTTTAACATGATCAACATAAATATAATGTTTTTTTCAGTCCATAATGGATTTCATTCTTTAATGGATTTGATTCTTGTAGAATATGTATTTAAAAAAAGGGTTTTAGTTTTTTTTTTCGATTTTAACATGACCGACATCTGTAGAATGGTCTTTCATTCTGTGATGAAATTAATTGTGTTATTTTTTTTAAGGTTCATTAAAAAACCAATAAATGAAAGTAAATGATTTTTATGTGAATTTCTATTTATGAAGTTAAATAATATTCTTGTAGAATATAAAGTGTGAAATTCTAATAGAATGATTGTAGGCAATTTGTTGTTTAGTTTGTGATAATAACATTCTAACATAACGATTGTAGCATGGGGTAATATATCTAAATCTTGTAGAGTATGTAATTTCGTTTAAAATGTGTCTTAATGAGATTCTAACATAATCATACTATGATTTAATCAGATTCTAACATAATCATACTATGATTTGTTATTCTGTGTTTTTTTATGGTAAATAAAGGGCAAGTAAATTCCAAATGAATGATGTGATATTCTAATAGAATGGTATTACTTAATTATTTGATTATTTGTTAAATATTTTATTGTGTCAAAATATATTATAATATGTATTATGTTCTTTATCAAGGAAATTAAATTCTAAAAGAATGAAGGATGTGA